TCAGAGGTTGTCTAAGGAACCTGCAGCTCTTGAAGTCTCACCTGACCAAGACCCTTGATCTGAGTTCTGCTCACTTCCTGTTGGGAGTAACCCCTAACTCATGCCCCGCTTCCTAGCAGTGGCCAGAAAGCATGTTGGATTATGTCACAGAGCAGTATCATTGATTGATGGGCTGTGTAGTGTGAATGTCTCTGCTGATTATTCCTGTGGATTTTGAGTCTCTGTAGTCCAAACTTGAATGATTAAAGTTCATCTTAAAACTAACATATTCATACTTTTTATTTTCTAAGCAGAGAAACTTCAGTAACTTCTGCCTGTAAACATGAACAGTAATTAAACCACAGAAGAAACACATTCCTGGTGATCAGTTTGAGTTTTTGAGTAAAGGCACATTTTATATTTAAGCTCATCATTAAAAAGGAGGAGTCATCTGTCTGTAATCTAAGTAGCATTTTATGTTTAGACATCTGCTGAGGCCATCCTTTTCCATCTACCCATCGTTGTAAATACTTATCTAATTCACTTAGTGGAGGGTCCAATCTATCCCAGAGGTAAGAGAGTGATCGGTGGGGGTACGACCCGGGGCAGGTTGATGGGAGAGTAATTTGAGAGTACCATTATGTGAAAGAAGAAAGGGCGGCAGATGTGGTGCCGCAAGTGTAGAGGTGCAGGCCAGGTACACAGACAGACGGGGGAGCCTGTCGGGAAAAAGTGAAGAAGCGAACAAAAACGTAAAATTAGCAGCATCTGGCTGTGTGCTTTTTCTAACTACATTCACACTCCGATGGACGCATCGGAGAGCAACTTGGGGTTAGTATCTTGCCCAAGGATACTTGGCATGCAGACTGGAGGAGCCTGGGATCGAACCTCCAACCTTCCGATCAGTAGGTGACCTGCTCTACCTTCTGAGCTACAGCCACCCCTAACGTAGTGCGCGTACTTCAAGCGTGCGGTCTCTTAATTGGGACACAGCCGTTCACACCTACGCGTCCAAGCTGGTAAATGAATTGCGCATGAGCGAAGCCGCTGCTCCCGCCCTGACTGTAACGCAGTCAGTTCGTTTACTATTATTTTGTGGCTCACATAGTTTAAAACTACTTAATTTACACACACAAAAGTAACTATTTCGGGTCACTTTTGCCGATCCCAAGCCCAGACAAAGGAAGACGGTTGGAAGTGTGACATTAAAAAAACCAATAATTGCTAAAATAAATTTAATGTGTTGTTGTAAATATATTCCAAATGCATTTAGAGTGTTTTTTGTAAACTCACTTCATGTCTCCTTCACGATGTTATTTCTGTATCCAACAGTAGGTCACAATTATATAAGCATGACCAATTAGGCAACTTAGGGATGACATAATTTTGCGATTTCTAGCAACTTTTAGGACAGCCAATAGGGATTTTTCTTACTGAGGAGTTGGCAACACTGCAGTTGTTTGTGACACAACCCCCCTGCTGACAGCAAAAAGCTACAACATGTAAACAATATTCTGCAAAGTGTAGGCTCTGCACAGGACTAATGCAAGACTGCATATCAGGGGAGTGATCTGTATATAACACGAAACAAAGAGAGCAATGATCAGTGGGGATCTCTCAGTATGGTATTTCTGTAATGCCAGATTCACATGGGTGAATCTCACATGTCCTGGTTCTGCCCTGACCCGGTTAGCAATGAATTTGTCAAACTTCTCCATTGCTGCACCAATCAGTCTATCAGTCTTCCTCCATTCTCTCCTTACTCATGAACAGGACCCAAAGATACTTTAATTCCTCCACTTGGGGCAACAACTCATCCCTGACCTGTTGTGGGTACTTCAACCGTCTGTGGGTCAACTTTGGAGATGTTAATGCTGCCGTCCATTTACCTCTGAAGTTGGATGTCAGAGCCAAGAGTGACACGACTCCTGAGTCGACAGCGCTTGGAAGCTGCTCCAGTAGTAAAATTGGAAAAGTGAGGAAAGATAGAATTTGTTTTGCTATTGGTAATCTTTCATAACACCTGTTGTTGGTTTATTTTTATTTGTAGAGTCAGTTCTCTGTGCAAGACAACAGTGGTAGTACAAAGTAAAAGTTTAACAGTTTTACTCCTGTTTATGTGCACTGCTACCATCCTAAAGCAAGATTCCAGTTGGAAAATCTGACTAAGAAAATGAAAAATACTGCAGGTTTTTTTCATCACTGCAGCCAGGCAAACAAAGTTAGAATTCTGTTGAGCCAAGTATTCCTTTAACATTAAT